GTGTAGGGTTGTGTGTGTGTGTGTGTGTGTGTGTGTGTTGACAGTGAATACAGTGTGATTAAAAAGGTCAGCTTCATTAGCAAAGCACTGGTGACAGCTGAAGTCCACATTTCACAATGAGCTTTGACTGAATGGCACAGACAGACAGTAAATCACGTCTCTAAAAACAGACTTGTGAATAAAACACATCCTGGAATATTTTGACTACATTATAGCTCCAACCATGAATTCCGGCCTAAAACACCTATACTGAGATCTCCTTTGACTGAAAAGACTTACTGAAAGTAATACTGGATATCTGTAGATTCCTAGAAAACAAACATTCTGGCAATTATGATGTCAAAACTTTTTAGAACTTTCCAAAAATATTTGGAAATAGTTTAATAATACACTAACAGAATATATGAATGTATATAAATTGCTAGTGTTATTTTACAATTATTTATATAAATATTTATATTACAGCATTTATTAATATTAAAAATAAAAATAGTACTTTTTATTAGTTAATTTAGCTTTATTCTTATTTCAGCTTTATAGTTTTATAATTTATTTAAACTAATTTATTTCAGTTAGTTGCTGAGGCAATATTTTGAATTTTAATTAAAGGGGTCATATGACGTTGCTAAAAAAGAACATTATTTTGTGTATTTGGTGCAATGAAATGTGTTTATGCGGTTTCTGAAACACGTCGATTTTTACAAAGCTCATCGCTCTGAAAAGCGAGGTGTGCTGTGATTGGCCATCTATCCAGTGCGTTGTGATTGGCCGAATACCTCAAGCGTGTGACCGAAATGTTACGCCCCTTACCATACTGTGATGCCGTGTCCCGGTGGGACGAGACAAAACCAATAAAACCCATTATAAACGAGGCATTTGTAGCATCCAGTGGGGACATAATTACAGATTATAATTACTAATACTGTCTTTTTACAAACATAAAAACATAAAACCATGTCTGCATTTGTGATTGGAGAAATACTTTAGTCTTTGCAACTTTAGGGATCTTATCTATTCACGAACAGCTTGTAACACTCCAAAGAGAAAGGAAAACTTGAAATTGCATCATATGACCCCTTTAAAGTTATTTTTTCATCTTAATTTATAATTTTTATTAAATATTTTATTTTACCTCATTTCAATTTTATTAAAAAAAATAATTGTTTTTAGTTAATAACAATACTGATAATTATAAAATATAATTACATTTGCATTAGTCAGTGTGAATGAATAATATAAACTGTAACCAAATACCAATTCTCAATATTTTGGCCACTTTTCACTAACATCAGCTAAAACCAAGTGCACTCTTGATTCTCAAGGTGTCTGGACATGCGGCCCCTGTAAGCAGCACCGTAGATCCTGTGGTGGGGAAGATTAATAGAGCCAATCTCCAAACAAGCTGCACAGTGACCCCCTCAAAACATTTCTAATGAAATAAATCAATCAGTGGGCCCAGGACCTATAGATAATATCAGTGGAACAGATCAGCAAAGAGGAAGAACTGGAGAGGACTTTAAGGCCGAGAGCAGGCAGAGCATGGATAGCCAGGCCTTCTGATATCACTGGCCTTGTTATCATACTAGACAAAGTGAGGACAGCCAACTCCAACTTCCGGCACAGGAGCACTGATAGCAGGGGCTGTCTCTATTTAAACAAGCCCTGTGCTTGAAATTGCAACTGGTCATGCTAATGCAGTAACACCTCTCTCTGCCAGAGCACACGGCTGTCAATTCTAATATGTGCCAAGAAACCATTCTCCAACTTTTCATTACATACAGAAAAAACTGTATTGTTTTTAATTAAGTTTAACAATTAAACTAAATGTCTACTCTCCATTAAGATAGCCTTTGAAAAACAACCTTTTCCAAATAATCAGTAAATGGTCGTCTATATTTAATTTTAAGCAAATGAAAACAAGCATGTGATTAATATAAGTACAATCTGTTAAATGTCATTCTACCTTGAAGTTAATTTTTCAACATAGAAAACATGTTTTCAAGACAAAATGTGTTTTCAAAACAGGGATGAAATTTGCATAAAAACGCTATTTTTCAGTATTATTAAAAAATTATTAATTTATGTATGTCTGTATATACATATATATACACACACATATATATATATATATATGCACACACACACAATATTTAAATTAAATGTTATTTATAAATGCATATAGTTATACAAAATACACATTACATATGATTTTATGATTTATTTAAATATATAAATGCCTACCATGATTATGGTGGTTGTCCAACAAAATTAAGTTTAGGTGACAAGTTTATAGAAGGAAAAGGTGACACTGGGTTATGGCAAAATTGGTCAGCTTTAAAAATGCTGACAACAACAGACATAAAATCTGTCCTGAGAGTTTTTCCTTTGCAGTACTGTAAGTAAATGGGAGTGGGTGTTTATGTGTGTGTGCTAACATGGTTCCTGATGGCAAAGAGCAGTATATTTAATGTTGTGAAACTAAAAGAAAACCCCCTTTCCCCACGGATCAATGCTCCACTTCTCCCAGGCTGATTTCTCATAAAACACCTGCTGTAACATCCGAGCCATGGCACCTGGAATACACCGACATGCACCTATAAACACACACCCACATCTCTCTGTCATCATTTCCTTGACCACAGGAGAGCACTACTTTAAGCACCATTTGCCTTCTCCATTTGGTCTACAATGCATCACAGAGGCAATAGACAATCTGGAGAGAAGCCTCACTCAACTTCATGGCTTCTCTCAGGATGGATGGCTGTTCAATCTGAGAGGATTGTCTTGTACTTTCTCAATGACACACAGCATTGAACGCTGGGAGCTGGAAAACTAAACTTTAGGTTCATACTCCTAAAATAACTTCAGAAATGAAGCTGAAGCTGACTTTTCCATGTATTTTGTTGTCAGAAAAATACAGACATCGAGGGAAGTAATGCACATACTGTCAAATAGTTCTTCAGTCTTGCTTTGCACCTGTTCTAGGTGATTATATGCTAATGCGGGGCTCAATGGGATGTATAAAATGCATGTTAAAACAGAAAAGTTAAAAACAGTTAATTTAAATGTTATTACTATTTTACAATATTACTGTTTTTACTGTAGTAAAAGTATAATGCAGTCTTTGTGAGCTTCAAATTTAAAACTATTTAACTTGCTTGAAATTTAACAGGCCATTTGGTGAGTAAAATTGTATTTACTCACTAAAGCCAAATTTTACCCGCATTTGGTGTTTGGCAAATGTTCATTTTGGCCCCTGATGCACATGGATGCGAAGCCAATGCTTTCCGAACGCCGTGCCGATTTTCTTTCCTCTGTGAAGTTCAAAATCAACAGGCACTTTGCAAAGTCTGTGAGAACACAAACAACTTCACACACTAATACAGCTCTTCATGAAGGGCTTCATTAAAGTGCCTCTGAAGAGCAAACTCTCTCGTTCTTTCTAACACACACAGACCACGACCCAGGAAACGATTCTACAACAGTACAAAGCGAAAGGCCGGGATGGGACGTGCCACGCGAGCTGTCAGGAGCAAAGCTGCGGCACCTTTGATTGAAGGTAATTAAAAAGAAAAAAATCCCAAACAAAAGAGCATTTTATGGAGCTCCCGCTATCCAGAGAGTCGCTCATTAGCCCAGCAGGGTAATTAGCAAGATGCCGCAGTCCTCGTTAAGGAGAAATCATAATCGTAAACAAATGGCTGTGAGCTTTTGATGCCTTCCCCTCTGTAATGAACTGCCACTGTTCTCAAAATGAAAACAATGCTAAGACGTACACACATGAACACACAACTTGGAGAGCCTTGAGATGACAGGTCTCAGTTTAAGAGTAAGGGGGCCCATAATGGCTCTCATCTGAGTTATAACAGAGCGCTAAACTCATCACACTCAGCACAAGTGCATTCTTGTTCTCATATATTTGCAAAGAGAGCTTCTCATGAGCTTAATTGACCAGATCATGGATTCAGAGAGCAGGAAGACATTCAAATAACTCAGTTGTACATGCACAATTGCACATGAATACACTCAGGAACAAACAGAAGCATGCAGCTAAACATAGAAGACAATATCTGTTAGGCAGCTTCTTTAAGGAAGTACTCAAATAAAATAATAATAATGTAAAATATAATATAATAATGATTCTATAATCTAATCTAATACTATATAATAATAGAATAGAATAGAATATTATAATGATTCTGTAATCTAATCTAATAGTATATAATAATCTTAAAAGCGGCACTAAATAACTATATTTTAAAATGGCATTTTTAAATCATAATATATCATAATATAATAACCTTAAAATCACCACTATCCTACATTTTAAAATTGCATTACTTTTTAATATAATATAATATCATTTTTGAATTATAATAAATAATCTTATATTTTAAAATGATTCCGTAAGGAGCATGTAAACTACAACAACAAGCAAATACTGGAAAGGTGAGAAGTGAGACAGTACTCATTCCCTTAGCTGATGAACTAAGCACATCCTGTGGTCTCTATGGCAATAAAAGCTTGCACTTCCTGTGCTGCCAGGAAGCAGCCCTGGGAGAGACGGACAGCTGGCAGCTGGTCGCCACAGTGCCGCGCTGTGTGTTATATAAGCTGCACTTAACTGCTGATTCCAGGTCAGCCGGGATCAAACACAATTTCAGCTCCAATTATGATGTAGGGTGATATGGGGGTAGGTGGCCTTTATCGGCACTCTCGGCAGATGGGAAAAGAAAAAAATAACCTTCCCCCTCTGTGTAATTCAGAAGAGAAAACAATCAGACCGGGCTTTTGTACACTTGACCGGTAGGCAAATGCTGTTTGAACAGTTAGTCAAATAAATGGATCGACTAATGAAAGGGAAGGAGAGTGTGAAGAAGAAAGGGAGAAAAAGAAGGCTGTACTATTTTTCTATATGTATGTGTGCACTTATACATTTTCTGAAAAATCACAAGAAGTTCCTTTTAGGATCATTTAAAAAGAAAACAAAGACAAGATACCTGTAGAAGAGGTCTTTGAACGCCCAGGTTTTTCATGGTGTCAGCGCTGGCCAGGATTTTGAGCGGGTCGGACACTTTGGTCACAGCCTCAATCTCTTTATTGGTCTCGGTGCGGACCTGGCTGAGGAACAGGTCGTTGATGTAGTAGGTGAGGAAGGTGCGTAGCTGACACTGCTTGGCCTGAGCTGGACCCATACGGGACTCGATCTCCTGAATGAACCTGATGACACGGAAAACAAAGCATTTTCATTAAATTAGAGAAAAGAGACATGTCTATGCAAAGTTTGACTAAGTTTGCATATGTCAGAGCTGAGGCTTATTGGTTGGCACATTGTGCAGTGGTGCTGATGTGGGAAATTTGGGTTTGAATCCAAAATGTATTGTGTCCAAATCACTTTTTGGCATCTCTCCAATATTGTTTTATTTTGCATTTAATTTCAAAATTGAAATGTTCTTAACATAAAAATGATATAATTACAAATGATATAATTAGTATATAGCAATTTGAGATAAAAGCTTAAGAAAAAAAAACATTAATATTAAATTTTAAATCATTTAATGTCATCATGTTCTGTTCCAGGTTAAAATTGAATTTTGAATCCCAGATTTTCAGTGTGGCCTCAGACTTGAAAAACACACATATAAGCTCCATTTCTGGCTTTTAAGTACTGCACATGCACCATGTTTGTCGGTGAGGGAACAAGACAGGTGTTGAGCAGGGACGGGCCGTTGCTTACGAGCAGACAGAGGCTCATAGATCAGCAGGAACGCTGATTTATCACTACGAGACTACAGCTGCACAACCCCCCGACTCTAAACACCTCCCTCAGCACCGCACAGCCAATTAGCCAACCCAGCAGAGGGGAGCCCATCCACACATGTGCACGTGAATGTGTGTTTGTGTGTGTGCGAGACATTAACAGTGGAAGCATGGCTCAGCCCTCAGTAAGAAACAACTGTACCACAGCATTTAGTGAAACACTGCCATTACAAACATAAAAACTAGGGCTGGGCAAGTTAACGCGTTATCACGTTAACGCATTAATTAATTAACGCCGACAATTATTTTATCGCGCATTAACACAGTTTATTATTATTATTATTATGAAAGCCCGTTGCTCACTGGCTCTGAACGTGCTCGTAATCACGACTTCATAAGTGGGAAACAGGAAGTTTCGGATAGCACGTGAAGACAGCAGAGAAGCGCTCTCGCTCAGCACAGTGGAGTGCATAATTTTGTTAATTCTGTGGTTTATAATTTTGAGTCGTTTGGGACGCGGTGACAAACGGCCCTCTCACAATATATATACACAATCGTGCTGCAGGTATCAGAAGTTCCGCGCTCCGGTGGGGTTAGCGCTCACACTACATGCGCACCGCACCCAAGCCCAACTGAACCACGCTCTGGCCCACCTCTTCCAACCGAGACAGGGACGGCTAAACAAACTGTGCCCGAGCGCAGCTCAGAGTGATCACACTAGTCAAACGAACAGGGCTTTGGGGGTCAAATGCGCTCGGGCACGGTTAAGATTGCCTAGTGTGAGTACACCCTTATTCTCCTGCATCCCGCAAACACGAGTCTCTACCCGCCCGCACCCGCACTCGCCCATCTAGTGTTGTCCCGCGATAGTGCAGGTCTCTACTCATAAGGTGCCTGTTATAATGTTATGATCGAGGCTCTGGACTCTGAGCATAACTTGTTTTTCTATAACAAACTATAAAATATTTTCTATAAAAACGTT